AGAGTATGAGTTGTACTGTTTAGTCACTTACGAGATGATGTCGACTTTTTATATTTCCAGTTATTTCAGATTAGTTTGATGAATGAAAGTTTTGTACTATTTTTTTTACATATCCGAGTTCTCTACAAAGCAAGCTTCGCTGTACAGTACTCAGCACACTGACGCTCGTTACTGGCTACCGCACTCATTACGACCCCCCCTCTCCTGGCGGCCAAATACGACCCCCCTGTTGGGGATTCCCCAACCAACGATGTGCCCTGAGTGGCGCTCTCCTGCAGTTACGGACCTGCCACATCGCACGTCATCGAAGAGTGCCTTTAAGTGCAAGCGGTGTTTTTCTGCACTATTTTTCCCGACATAAAAGGCTCTCATTATGTATCCAAGTTTCACTGGTTTTTGCGAATCCAGGGTTTACGGCTACCATAGGAAGCCCAAATAAACGAAAAACTCAAATACTGTGTAACTGTCCATTTTGATGCAGATTTTATCAATCTTCAAAAAAGCTTGAGCCTAGAAAATTGTGCAATGTTTGCAGAAATGTGGGTGATTTTTTGTTTCTGTGATGCATGCGAATATTGGGATAGCCCTTTGTGTTTCGAATCGGGAAAAACTGAGGAAATACATCTAAGGATGGCAGTTGTGCCCGCCTTTTCCATTTTCTTTTCTCATGTAGGTTTCGCAGTGATTTATCTGTTGGGGGTTTCTACATAACATCATAGGCGCTCTTGCGTTCCCGATTTCGTTTCTTGGAGTGAGTCTGTTCGATTCTTGAGTTGTTCGCTTTTTGTGACACATTTTGTTGCTCCCATTGTACTTTCATTTCTAATGTCACATTCTCAATGTCATTTTTATTGGCGCGTAATTTTTCAGGACTCCCCGCTTTGATAGTTCTCCTTGATCTCTGGTTAATTCCAAGTTCTTATCAACACACAGCACTTCCTCCAACTCCTCCAGTAAGGTTGTGACATAAAGGAGTATGTCGTTTCTATTTCTTTCGTGACTTTTTATATTTCTGTTTTGAGTACTACTGGAAGTATGCATGAGTGACTTTTTGGAACCTTCTGAAGCCAAATACCTATGGATTTTTTTGGAGCAGGCGCGCTGACTGTTCACTTGACAAGGCAATCGCAATATGCCGCATTGGGCGCAGTCTGATTTTGAACGCCGAAGGGACGGAAAAGATCAATATCATTAAAAAAGGAGTTTTGCCTCCCCCCCCCTCATTTCCCTGTGAATTTGGTTGCTCTAATCGATAAACTGACACATATCAAGGATTCACCTCGCATCGCCGCATGCGCGCCTCGCGCGACAGCGCGGCAAGTTGCAATTGGCTTTTCCTTCTCACGGGCTGAGTGAGGTTGGGCTAGCTATGTTTTGCCTTGTGGCAATACGGACGCATTCTGAGTTTTTAACCCTTTGGTGACTCATCCTTTCGGCGCTAGGACATTTTGACGCTAGTTGTTCTCGACTTTTGCAGTATGCTCTTTTTATTAGTGAATATCAGTGATTTGACTATTTCGTGTGAAAGTCAGTGGGACGGAAGGGCGACTTCTGATGCTCAGAGAAAGGGCTTCCACGCAAAGTCACGTTTCAGCTGTTTATACCTTTTTATGGGAAGGGGAAACCACTCCTTAACATCTGGCGTAGGCGCGGTTCCAGACATACCTTCAGACTTTGATCCCTTTTTTTGAGGACCATGCTTTAAGAGATATGAAGTAAATTCCTCTGATCAAACTCTCATTTCGCTCAACATATAGTCGTGAATGAGTCTGTACTGTGCGATGACTGGTGCTTCTAGTGGTTCTCCTTCATTCCTTGGTCTCATTCCCATGGGCATATGAGCTGCCTATCAGCAATCTGGAAACAAATGAAAAGGGCAGTCTAGAAACAAATGAAAAGGTTAAAGGTCAACTAACAGCGGGCGCCACATCCATTTTGCTGAATCATTGAAAATTATTTACTTTGGAGTAAATTTAATTCTGTGAGTTGTAGTGTCTGGCTGAAGCATTTCGCGGTTTCATCAAATACATTTAGCAGTGGATAAGAGTTTGTAAAAGTTTATGAATTTCCCGTTTGTCTGAACGGTGAGCTCGATTTTCTCTTGATTGGATCGCGCGATTGCGAGGTCTGAAAGCAGTCATAGGGAGGTCCGAACCTTCATGTAATCTGACAAGGGAAGGATGGTAGGTCGAAGTGGCCATTTGAAATGAAATGTATACCGGCTGAAAGGTCTTCGGACGGGAATTACGAAACCGTCTTCCATATCTGCTGCGGACCTCCCAGAAAGAAGTTACGGAGCTTTTTGGGGGAGAATACACTACAAATTGGCGGCGTAAGGCTGACGAGATCGTGGCAGCATGGCCGAGTGGATACGTCGTAGGGCTCACGGATGCGTGGTCGAGGGTTTGGATCCTTGATGCGTGTGCTCTTTTGCATTTTTTCGAAAGTGGTCCCTGTGCACTTCAAAGCTATTTTGCATAACACTTGTCCATGATAATGTCGTGATGTAATGATTCTGAACTGATGGAGCCATTGCGAACGATTTCATGGAGATCACCTCCGGCTGAAAAGATTGTCATACGAGCCGAAAACTTCCAGCAGATACGAAAACACTTTGAGATAGACATAATTCAACATTATGTGAGTGGTGAATGAAGCTCTTGCCCATCGCGATCTCCAGCAGCATGATTGTCACATCAACGCCACTTCATATGGAAGCATTTTCCCCACTATAACTCATCTTCGTGCACAACTTCGTGCGTTCGGATTCGTTTTCCAGTCATGTCGTTTGGAGAATAAGTCATTTGAAGGCAAAATCTTCCGAATGCACTTTTGTTGTGTATGCTTTTCAAATCAAAGAAAGAAGAAGACAACAGCCAGAAGTGATCTCTATGAAATCGTTCGCAATGGCTCCATCAGTTCAGAATCATTACATCACGACATTATCATGGACAAGTGTTATGCAAAATAGCTTTGAAGTGCACAGGGACCACTTTCGAAAAAATGCAAAAGAGCACACGCATCAAGGATCCAAACCCTCGACCACGCATCCGTGAGCCCTACGACGTATCCACTCGGCCATGCTGCCACGATCTCGTCAGCCTTACGCCGCCAATTCGTAGTGTATTCTCCCCCAAAAAAGCTCCGTAACTTCTTTCTGGGAGGTCCGCAGCAGATATGGAAGACGGTTTCGTAATTCCCGTCCGAAGACCTTTCAGCCGGTATACATTTCATTCAGGTATTTCCCCGTCACCATTCATTGAATGCACATCTGGGCCCTGACACGCTCACCTTGGGGCTATTTTTTCACCAATTCAGCCTATCAATGATCACCATTAGCCGCTATTTCAATTGTGTTTCTTGTTACAAGTTGCATGTCATACATAGTTATCGAACGAGGAGTTTTATTTTGAATCCTAAGACAAAATTGTAGGTAATGCGAGGCTGTTGTTCAGCCTCATATTGCATGAGGCTGAAACAGCCTTTTATTTCCTGTATTTTAGAGCAGAGTGCGCCTTTCGAGAATCCAGATTCCATTTCAGGAAGCCATTTGTGGTGAACATGCATCTGGTTGTCAGTTAGAGCAGGAGGGGGGGGGTCGTATCTGGACCCTCTTCGGGGGGGGGGTCGTACCCACACCGCCATTTGACACATCCCCATGCTGTACCCTGATTTCATTTCAAATGGCCTCTTCGACCTATCATCCTTCCCTTGTGAGCACGATCTTAGGAAGAGGAAAGCGAACTCCTAATGTATCCCTTTTCCATGCGAGAGCTCACACATTTGATGCACAAATTCACCCGCACCACAAATCGGATCATGCTTCAAATTGATAAATTAATTAATTAGTTAATTAACTAACAATTAATTAACAAATTTTGCGCAAGTTATTATTTTCGGGCGTATGGGGGTTCTGTTCGTTCTGTATAATTTGAGACTTGAGAGCATCGGCGTTTTGTAAAATCCTCACTGTCTACAACGACGATTTTCTGTTACCGTAAAACGCTAAATCGGTTCCTATTTTTCCCTTTTCTATCGAAACGCCAGTTCTCCCGGGTAGTAAAGTATGAGCGCAGCCTAAAAGCGGTATTTGTGGTGTGGACTGGCCGGTTCCGTTTGTATTCCCTAGTCCTTTTCATGAGTACCTTCGTAATGCATTCTAGCTCAGTACTGAATCTACGTACAAGACATATCCATCATTTGACTTGCAATTGTTAGGTTGCGTTCATACTTTCCGTCTTTTCGTTCTGAGCGAAAAGGAAACTATAAGTATCTATAGCGCTTGGCAGAAACGCCAGCGTTTCAGCTTTGACTGTTTTGATGTTTCAAATGCCCATCAATGCCCATAGTACCCGTTTTGAGCGTATATAAGCGGACGGCAACGTTTTGAGCTTCTCGCGAGCAGTCGTGGAAAGGCTGTTGTACGCTGGCGTAACGTAGATCGATGCCTATACTTTCATAGTCGCTCGATACACTCGAAACGTTGACGAAAAGTATGAACGCAGTCCTGGTCAGCTATATGTCGCTATCCTTGGTATCGTCTTTTGACCAATGCCCATTTTCCTTTCTTATGGAATTTGTTAAAATGAACGTTCTTGTTCTTTCGCAAAGGCAAATTGTCCTTGCACTCTTTTACCGGACTTACTTTTTGGAACTGGTTTTGCCCTCGATGTTGCTTGCTATGCAATTCGCTTTCCTGTTTTATGGACATGCCTTCCTCCAATAATTTTTTTCTGAAGCCATTCGGCGAATTTTGCCAATAAACGTGCATTTAATTCAGAGAAAGCATGGTTTAATATTCAAATCATAGATAGCTCTTCTTTTATTCTTCATATTGGTTTCGCTTTGCCTCGATATCTTATGAATCGTGGCTCACCCGTACTCATCTTAAGACTTGCTGATATAAAGTCCTGCTTCGTCCGCGAGCCTTGTTTATTCTGCCAGTTCATGTCTAATCCCTTATTTCTTTAGATTTTTAATTATTTGCTACGGCAACCGTCATGACGGATTTCCCGAGCGCAAACGTTGACGAGCACATGACTCCCGATGGGAAGATTCGAGTTGAAGATCCCGCAGAGTTCTTGAAACGACAACCCAAGAAAAGCATCCTGAAGATGAAGCAGGTGAGCTGTACGTATTGTTCGCTAGAGCGCGTACATATTTTGCGTCAGCGTTTTAAGCTTACTGCTGTGTTTTGAGCGACTATGAAAGTGTAAATATCGATCCAGCTTTTTGTGCTTTTTAAGTGGTTTTAAACTTTTGGCGGAAACGTCTAAGACGCTAGATCGATGCTTATAGCTTTTATAGTCGTTCAAAAACGCGTTTGAAGCGCTCAAAACGCTAAGGTAAAGTAAGAACAGCTTTAGCTGGTCACCTACTTACAAAATCGCCTACTTTGTCAAAAGGTGACCGGCATAACATCTGCATGCATTATCTACACCATCGAAGCACCAGTTGCACTGTCGCTTATCGCGATGTACGATCAGTACATCATGGGAAAAACTGCCTCTCTTTATGCCATGAAAGGCAAGAGTTTCAGGAGGTTTCGTTGGATGGCAAAGAAGGGCGGGCACATTTCGATGAGATGAACATTTTGGCCACTTATCATCCTACGGATAAAGACTATGGAAATATGAAGGTTAGACTCCGCATTATCGAAAGCTTACTGAGCCTTCAATTGCTTAAAATGGAGGTCGTTGTGACATGATATGTAATAAGCTATGGTTTGACCTGAACTTTGTGATGACCCCTCTTTCTTATTTCAGATCGATGAGCCTAAAACCCCGTACAATTACTCTGATTGTGAATCGGAAGGTGACGACGTGAGTTGGTCCGGACTATTTCTAGGAAGTTGTTTGTCCCTCACCTAAATGCATGCTTTTAGGCATCTTCTGCCCAAGCTAGTCGCCCCCGTCGGGTATCACTTGGGGGTGCTGTAGACCCAGAGGAGGTAACTAGTTTCTTCCCTTCGGATGTCATGCATTTTGCTGTTTCTCTCGAAATTTAGGTGGCGGAAGGTCTTCACAATGTTACAGGCAGTGGATCTGTCAAATCAATTGGATCTGGTACAGATAGCGATGATGATGAAACTCATCTTACTCCAGAACAGATAGGTAAGTGTGGTTTCCAGGAGATTGATTCGACCCATCAAATTCTCCTAATATTCAATTGTCTATATATTCGTAATATGCCGTTTTCAGCACTGGCTGAGAAATTGTTTCGGGTATTTGATCGGCAGAACTCGTCGTTTTTCTCTTTCATCGGCACTACTTTTGGTTGCAGGCAAAATACATTTATTACAGTGTTCAGCAGGGCCGAGTACTTCGATGATAGAGCCTAGTGCTGTGGGCAAATTCTAACACTGCTCGTAGTACGGGTTTTGAGCTCAAGGTGCCCGGAAAGCTGAATTAGGGACGACCCGAACAGCGCTGGGTAATCAAACAGCTTATTGATTCGGATATAATTGGCACCCATCCCCATCAGCCATTCAGCGTGAGAACAGGCGTTACAATGCAAGAAGAATGGACCCCACAACCAAGCAAACGCTGAGGAAGAAGGGCTCAGTAGAGTCATACTTTGCGAATGTTGGAATTTGCGATGGCAGAAACTTCGTGAAAAACTGTGCGTTCCGTTCTGGAGCATGAGCACTGAGAACGCGCGATTCGGGGAGGTCGTGATGTCAAAAAACTGGCGACAAGGAAACATGGATGCAATTCGATTCTGCATCCAGTATCAAATCGCCGTGCTCTACTGCATTGCTTATTTTTCTGCAACTGCCAATTTTCCAACTCGATACGCATACCTTTCGTCGTGAGTCATCCCCTAAGTCGTTGACTCTCCGTATTCCCGAAGTATAAATGCGATCTAGTAGAAAATGTTTGAAGGTATTAGGGGCGCTGTTCATGGAATTTATGTTTTATGGAGGAAAAGTTATCCAGTTATCATGTTGAGTGAGGTAAATTGATAGAAATAGCACATATTCTCGAAGTTACAGCCTTTTCTCTTGTTGCGGCTCAACAACTGGGAACGACTGCCCTATTCTTTTTCCAAACGATTGTGTTACACCTCTCTCGTCATAAACAATTACGGCATCTGCTTTTTACTGCTCAGAAGGGTTTGGTTAGGTCTTTGTCCCCGTCTTGCACAAAAAAAAAAGAAAATGAAAAGGCCCGGTGCCTGCACTGCAGACGTCGGTGCCACAGCTGGGTTTTGGCCTGTCTCAGGATAACTGGTAACCTTGAGTATTCCTGATCGTTCCTTTTTCTTTCTCCTACCCTCTTTTCCTTCTCTCTTTCTCTTCTCCCCTTCCTTATTTTCATCCCGTCAACTGCTTCACCAGGACATGCTGAGAAGTAACCCTGTTTCCTTGCAGCGGGGAAATCCGGTCAGAAGAAGCCCTGCATCCCATCTGCAAAGCAGATACCAGCCATTACCCATACCAAGCAGAACGAAGTTTGCTTCAAAGAGTCAAACGTTTGAAAACAAGTTTTTAGCAATCCAATGCTGTGGGATGGTATGGCGCAGTGCCTTGGTGTGGTTGTCAGATTTATAAGCAGACTCATATTCATGTTTGGAAATAATCCCAGGGCGAAATTGAAGCCAGTTTCTACCCCCAGAGTCACAAATCCGTTCGAGTTAGCTGAATTTGGCAAGAGGAACTAATGAGTAAATAGTACCACCATTCTTCCCCGGCATAATTAAGACGTTTTTTATGCACATCATTTTGTTTTTTTCTTTCTTTTTTTTGCGCATGTCCTTGGATGTTTCGAGTCGTACAAACATGTTCTTTTTGGCACAATTCCAGTGAGATGGGGCAAAAATGATTGCTTACTTCAGAGTTCCTTTTCCTCTGAGCTTATGTTACAATTCCCATCTCCCATGCTCACAATCGTTTCTCTATTTCTCTTATAATGAAAGAATATGCTCGTGGTGATTTTGAATGCCTTGGATGCTGTCCCATCAAACTGCCCTGCCTTACTGGAATAGCGTCTTCTCTCTCAGGATAGAACTCAATATATGTTCATACTCTTTTACAGCACATAAGCGGGAATTTGAGAAGAAAAGAAGGATGCACTACAACGAGGGTGCAGCGCTAAAGGCGATGAAAGCACAATTGGAGGATGAAGACATGGAATAGAAGATGATAGTCACAACAACGAAGCGCGGCAGCCTTGCGGCTGCGCGCTCTCCTTATGTGAAGCAATAATTGTGCATTATTTATATCGATTTTTTTAATGAAAAATTGTTCATTAAGTGGAACAAGTGTAGATATTGATCGGAAACATGCCGACCCAACTGTGGCTTATAGTTTTTTGTGGACTGTGTATATCAAGTGTATGCCAATATCGCAGCTCTCCTCGTGGATTAGTCGAATTTCATGTGATTTTTCTCGCGCAGAAGCTTGATGATGGATGCTTTTATGAAGTTTGAGTTCTAGTTTGGGTTCATCTTTCACAAACACTTTTCACCTGAGATGGGATGTGTTTTAGTTAGATCATTTGTTACATTCCACCTCATATAATGTTCAATAATTGTTTCTCGATGGTACATATTATATGGTAGCTCATTGTTTTGACCTACAGTGTATAGCTTTTATATGTTACAAAAATTATCTATGTTTCTACCTTTTTACACACTAGTTGAAGCCAGTGTCTTCCACAGCAGAATTATTGAACGGAATACACAGTGGGAGTTTTCCGCAACACATCCCCTATTCCAAACAAGTATATACCATTTACACTTCAAATTCACCACTTTTCAAACCAAATTCACCACTTTTCAAATCAAATTCACCACTCTTTTAGACCGGGCAGTTCACCAACCAGATCACGCCAGACACCACTGCGAGCCCCGCCCGACGGCCTACTTGTCAGCGCGGACATAGATTTTCAACACATCGACACATGGCCGACTCCGCCCATTCTTTAAGGGTTTGTTGCGAACTCCGAAATTTCGCAACGTTATAAAGGATAAAGGATAAAGTCTTCGCCGTTGATCAATCCCTTTGTGGGATGCGGCACGCATTCTACTTCCATTCAGAATCGTAGTGGCTTATTGAATGCGATGTGGCCTATACAATGACTTGCGGTGGCCAGCCGATGTACAAGTCAGTGTTTTATCCTCCCAGACGAATCTGGTACCAATTCACCGTCCCCGGAGGGTAGAAGGCTTGGTTGGCCTGGGCGGGAGTCGACCCGGGATTCGAACCCGGGACCGCGCGAATGGTGAGCGCCCCACTTGTCACTACACCATCTCCGCCTCGCAACGTTATGCACTGGCAAATTAGGCTCAACCCCCTAAGCCAAGCCCGCTTGCTTTTTAGGGAATACTGATGTTTTTTCAGAATTTTTGCATTTCTGGATGGCTCCAAGCCTGACCGACTGAGAGAGGCTTCGCCCACTTCGAAGAAACCCACTTTTCAAAAATGGTGCAACTCGGCAGTATAGAGTCTTGGCTTGCATGCTAGGGTCTCGTCCGTCACTCGGAACAAATCAAGCAAAGTTTGTTCCGAATGACCAGCAATACCCTAGCATGCAAGCCAAGACTACTGCCGATTTGCACCATTTTTGAAAAGTGGGCGGGGCTTCTTCGAAGTGGGCGGAGCCTCTCACAGTGGGCGGGGCTTCATGGCAGTCCAAAAATGCAAAAATTTGAAAAAAAATATCAAAATTCCGCAAAGGCACGTGTCTTAGGGGGGGCGGAGCCTGAATTGCCAGTGCATAAATGCGCGGGTACGAGTATCTTCGTTGTGCAAAGAGTGGATGTGAAATTCAAAAAGTTGAAAAAGTTATGAAATTTCGAAGTTCGCAACAAACCCTTTGAAGAATGGGCGGAGTCGGCCCATGTGTTGAAAATCTATGTCCGCGCTGACAAGTAGGCGTGACCGTCGGGGCGGGGCTCGCAGTGGTGTCTGGCGTGATCTGGTTGGTGAACTGCCCGGTCTAAAAGAGTGGTGAATTTGATTTGAAAAGTGGTGAATTTGGTTTGAAAAGTGGTGAATTTGGTTTGAAAAGTGGTGAATTTGAAGTGAAAATTGTATATATAGCTCCCCCTCTTAACCAGCCTATCGATTCTTTACTGGGTCAGCCTTTATCCCATAGAAAAAACTGCAAACTCGGCACCTTTCACGGAATGATGAAGTGATCACGGCGCTCAACCCATGCACTAAACACCACATCGCTCTTCAGCGGAGTGTTGGTGTGGTCACGGCACTCTGCTCAACGCATATGTGGAGCACAACAGGCTCTACATTTTTTGACAGAACATGAAGTGTGAACACGGCACTTTGATCATCCCCATACTCCAAACACGGCTTCTTGTGCGGAGTTGGTATACTCACGGCAACCTACTCGAACCCATATGTGAAACCGCTACCGCGGGCCGACGGATTCATGGAGTAAGTGGCATACTGCTCAGCCAAGGGAACCCATGGTCAAGCGTGTGTGGGAGGTCTTGTACTATTCGTCGTGCGGGGGTCGTATTTACACGTGTCAGTGACGAATAGAGCAGAGATAAGGTTTAAGAGACATTGCCATTGCTTTTGTTTTGTGGTTGGGCTCGGTATCTCCACAAAGTTGATCCCAAGGAAATACATTGCAAATTAGCACATCATAAGCAAAACTAATTATTACCCAATAAGGAGGATGGATTATTTAAGCTTCACCTGAGTTGAAAATTTGATGGTAGTAAACGTGAGAACAATGGCGAAGCGCTCAAATTTACTTGGTGAAACAGTAAATATCCCCTTTCTTGGACCTGAACCCTCGTTAATATCCGAGCAGTTGTACAGTTGTTTTTACTTCAAGTACTTTTGGCTGTCAATTGGTCTTCACTTCTGCACCTCCATTCAAGGCAACACGTTGAATAACACTTCGATATATCATCCTGCCACTTGTAAGCTTAACCCTGTTTAGTGGTTAATGTACAACGGCACCATGTTGGCGATGTATTTTGTGAGTGAAATGTGATCACGCAGTAGTTCTGATGGTTCTCTCGGTGGGTGTTGTTTACTGTTTTAACGATTTATTTACATCTTTAATGAGAGGTGAGCATACATATACAGTAGATCCAGAGTATGTGAGATAACCGTATCCAGGCTTTGCTCAGCTGATTTTATCCACCATTAAAGTTATGGCCGGTGTGAAAGCCACACCACACATTATGCCTAAATTCGAAATGATTCCTCGAGATATAGCAAACGCGAGATAAGCCTGGAGTAATTAATCAAGCAGTCACCGCTTTTTTTTCGCTAGGAATGGCATAGGGTTATGCTGACCAACCTGAGGACGTGCGTGAGAGGCTTTCTGGGAGGGATTGGACTCGTCTGATGCCTGGGTCTGCAGCCTGCATTCACATCGATTTTGGTTGCTATGTAGGTGCAGTTTAGCGTCTCATTTCTACTCAAGTCGACTTCAGAAAAAATGTTTAGGGGAGATGTCAAGTGGAAAGCTCAATGAAGCGTAAGGGCAACCAGGCGAGTGTATTCTCACAAAGGGTTCCACTTGAGAGTCACTACGAAGGTCAAAGGGAAACCAAATCCCTGGCTTGTTCCCATAAATGATGCAAATGTTGTAATATTGTTGTCCTTGCAAAGATGTCTGCCTTGGTGCACCTATGGGGAAGCAGTACGCGTTGTAAGGTAGATCAAGACCCTACCTTTTCCGGAAAACAGCTTTCTCTATGCATCTTTCTCCATTTCTTTCTGAATATCCGCGAGAGCTTCAGTGCTTCCTTCCTGAGTAGAAGCACTTCGAATTGCCTCTACGTTCAGAAACTGTCCCGCTGGTGGGACGAGAGAGAAATGAGAAACTAACAGGAGCGGGCATAATTGGGAAGTAATTACTCTCGCGGCGTTCATAAGTGAAAGAGGACACGATTCTCGTGGAAGAGTTCCATTGGTCCTTTTGAACCGATTGTTCTGCTATAAATCATTACAAGTACATTTTGAAGGGAAGTTGCTAAAAGATCCACCTGCGCTGACATTCTTATCAGTATAGGTTGATATCCTACTGTGATTTGATGATGACATCGTTTCGAGTCCGGTGAAATTTAGGGCACTCTGTGCATCCACCCGCTGTGGAAGCTCGTGATTTACGTAGCACTTTGCTCATGAAGCTAATCGCTTTTTGATTACGGTACTTTGACGCAGTCGAACGATCATCACACATCATCATAATGCTTCGTGTAAATCTCTCATCATGGGTTTGGCCTGAAGTCCGCGAAATGGGTAAGGTCTGTCTTCTCGGACAGAATGCTAGAGCGGTCACGGCTCTCTGCTCAAACACGTCCACGAAACATGGCAATCACGACAAAATCACGACATTTCGACAAAATTATCGAGTCATCACGGCATTCACAGAACGCCATTCACAGAACACGGCAGTCCCGGCGTCTGCGGCGGAGTGCGGGAGTAATCACGGCACTCTGCTCAAACCCATGCAGGAAACACGGCAGACTATCTTGGCACAGAATGCTCGAATGATCAAAACCTTTTCTCAATCCAGCGTTACGCATGTGTAGTGAAATCTGTGACGTGGGTGTCGCAGGCAGCGTGCTGGGAAGGGAGAGAGTAGGAAGTGCATACATATATCAATACTGGGCACTGCCATCGCTTTTGGGTCTAGGTTGGAGCTCGGTATATTCACCGAGTTGATCCCAAGAAAATCATGGCAAAGCAGAAGTGCATGTTTGAAAGTAAGTCACAGCTACAAGCTGCAAGCCTTCCGAATACCGCAAGAAACGCACGTACTTGGAGAGGTTTTAACGTCCATAAGTGTAACAATTCTGAATGGATATTGCGTACGCTAAACAGCGCTTCTGAGCTCCAGTCTTTTTTGCAACTAATTGAGAGATTTGCTGAAAACCTTACAAAGTTTTTAGATGGAGCTGTGGGTAGTTTGACGGTTGATGCCTTTCGTTGCAGCTGATGTAAACACTTACCGAAATCCCCTCCGGGCGAATTCCGCCTATAGTGGACCGACGCTAAGAGCGTTATTTTTCTAGGAGGAGAGGATCTCTTAGTTTTCTGGGCACGTTTACGTTTTTGCTCCACGTGATACCTGAGGTGCCCATTGAAGTGTTCGGGGCCTTCACAGGTCAAAAACTATCCTCGCAAAAAATTTTTCCGGGAGGAAGCTG